AAAAATATTTTAATCCCAAAGTGCATATATTGTGATTATACACCTTCTAATCTCAATTTAATCCTCATTTTTTAATTAAAAAAACATGCTTTTGAGAGACATCTGTGACTACCTATGGACAGTGGTGGGATTCAAAAAGTTTTTTACTACGGTTCTGTGGATGTGGCTTGGTGGGCTTGGCTTGGCTTGGCGGGTATGGCCGGGGAAGGATACTGCAAAATCCCATTCCTTCCCCACCCACTAACCTGCTTTCCAGCTCTGTTCTCCTGTGCAGGGCAACCAAAGAAGACCTCTCTACCCACTAACCTGCTTTCCAGCTCTGTTCTCCTGTGCAGGGCAACCAAAGAAGACCCAGCCGATCAGGTGGGACTCGGGAGGCAGAGAATAGATGGGGGCAGTCAGAGGTGATATTTGCCAGTTCTCGGAACTACTCAACATTTCCTCTACTGGTCAGAACCTGCTGAATACCACCTCTGCCTATAAAGCATTCAACAGTTCCAACAGGGCCTGTTGGACATTTAACAGAATGTTAAAATCATAATTCATATAATAGAGACAAAATTTCCAATTATCAAATAGTTTTTTATCTTCTTCTCAAGAAAAACTGGTGAAGTGACTAAGTGAGAGCATGAATATGCATTAATTTTATCATATCAGCTACATGGAGAAAACTGTTCCTCTTTTTGGGGTTCTCACTATTTAAATCCGTGTTACTGTCCCTAGTTGGGGAAATATTTTGCATGTAATGGGATACCTTATATGAAAAATGAACCGTCATCTCCAAATGCACTATTGATCTTTTCAAAGATTTAACATGCAGTGCTCAGTAGGAAGCAATACATAGTGGATGGAGGTTCATGTTATCTTCATTAATAACAGAATGTTAATGTCTAGACATAAAACTTCCTAAACACAGTATTTAGTACTTGGACATTATATCCATTGGTTTGCTGAATCTTGCCAGGATACCAGGATTTGGATGTTATTTGGAGCTGGATAAAATATGGCATAAAAAGATTCTGCAACCTTGAAGTCAACAAGTGTTGAAAGAAAGATAAAACTGGAATAAATACCAAAATTTTGATAGCAACAGGTTATTATCTTACAATACTAATCGATGTAAAACTACCTAGTCCTGCTCATGCATACCCACAGGCTCACGTATTCTTCTTGAATGAAGTTGAAGGTAGTGTACATCTAACAGTCTAGTCACACTCAGATTTAGAATTATACCCAATATGAAATATTTACCCCACTCACATTCAAAGCAGATGGTTTCAGAAATTCCTGCTACATTTTGTTATGCTTCAGTTTCCCAGAGCAAAGAAAGAGCTGGCCAGAGAAGATTACTAACTGCTTTTTCTAACTTAATGGTCATATCTTTGAGTACTGACTTGTTGGTCAATTAATTTTATATTTTTTTTGGAAATGAGGAAGCCTGTGATGGTGAAACGCATGCCATTTGTGAATTTTTAACATGGCGTTGATTATTTCATGAGGTTTCCTGATCGGCCAAGCTGGAAGATCACACAAGCTCAGAATAATCTGGCTGTCACCTTTAAAGTTCTTCATGGTTTGGGACCGAGTTATTTATGGGACCAGCACTCCCCAGTGGTGTCTACCCTACCTATTAGATTCCTGGATACTGTTGGCCAAGAAGTGTTGGCTGGTGAGGCCCAGAAAGAACCTCTTTTCTGTCATGATGCCCACCGTGTGGAAGATCATCCCCTCTTAGATTAGATGGGCCTCTCCTGCTAAACTTCCAAAGGGCTTGAAAACTTAGTTTTATACTTGGGTCTTGGGTCCTTGATGTATAATGGAATCCATCTGCTGGCTAAGTTGATAGTTGTTTAAATGACACTTGGCTGTTATGTGTTTTATTTTTTACATTATGTATTTTATCTATTTTATTGTAAGCTACCTAGAGTCAAATATGTGGGATGGATGGCTGTATAAATTGAATGGATGGATGGATGGATGAGTGAGTGAGTAGATGGATGGATGGATGATTCTAAACTTTCTTGAAGCTGGGTGTGCTAGAAAGAGAAACAGCTGCTTAAGCAATCTAGGCACATTTTCTTCCTTTGAAATTGATTTATTTCTTTTTTAGTTCTTTTATTGATACATTTTTCTTTAAAATGTATAAGTGCTTAATAAGCAGGGTATTGTCTGAGTCAATTTACAAATATGTAGTGATAACAGTAATAACATTCTTTACCTATATATAATAATTCTTTGCTAATATACAATAATTGTATATAATGATAGTCTCCCAATTTGTACTTTCTACCTTTATTATCTAACCAAAGGTAAAGCAGAAATTGATTTCTTATAGTTGATATTTCTGGTGGATGAATGTGACATAATAAAGGATTTGACCTATAGTTACAAAGCTAATCATTGTTCTGCATATATGAAATATATCCATTGTGATGATACTATTATAGGAAGAACTCTCAACTAAGCAGCCTGCAGCATGGTAATCTCCAGATGTGGTACAGTTGCAGACAGTAATCCATGCTCTAGCAACATTTAGGATTTTCTCTTCAGGTTTATGTGTGGTGTTTCCGCCGGAGATCGTTGGCTCTTTTGGAAGACTTTAGCTTTGGGGTGCAGGGGTGGGATTCAACCGGTGTTACTACTGGTTCGGTGACTACATTTTGTGTGCGCGTGTAACAAGACCTTAAGCTGTGCTTAAGCCTGGACAGCTGAAAAGCGCTGTGCGTGGGTGTGCAGCGTTTGAAAAGCCTCTTTTCTTCCTGCTTTTTCAACCTCAGCTGTGCTGCGCAAAGCAGCTGAGCTTGAAAAAGCAGGAAATAAAGGACAGGTAAGAGCCCAGGTGGGCGGGTGGGCCAAACAGCAGCAAACACAGAACCAATTTGGTGTCTGCTGCTCTTCAGATCTACCGGTTCTTTAGAACCAGGCAGAACTGGTAGCATCCCACCCCTAGTGGGGTGGAAGGATGACACTACGCCCAGGAATATAGAGACTACAGACTGATGCTTTTGAAGTATTTGTTTATTGTTGATTATTTTTGGTTTTGTTGTATTTCTAAAATTTACAGGAGCTGTAAGACACTCAGTTTTCAATCACACAGCGTAGATACTTGAGTCTCTCTCTCCCCCTCCCTCTCTCTCTCCCCCTCTCACCTCTCTCCCCCTCCCTCTCTCCCCCCCTCCCCCCCCCCCCTCTCTCACACACACATACACCCCTACACCTCTTTTGAAAAGGCTGTCATGAATTTACACTTAGCTCAGCATACAGCTGCTAGGACCAGATGGGAAGCTGGTGCTGCATGTTAGGGACTATATTAAGGTATTTCAGTTGTTAAGTAACTGGTTGGGCTTCATATTTCAAAGCACAGATGTTGGTGTCATGTTTCTAGAATTCCTTTTCTAGAGAGGCTCATCTAACGAGTTACTGTTATATTTTTGAAACCAGGTGTTTTTATTTTTCCAAGATAGCATGACTTTGCATTGGTTTTATGAAGGATTCTATATCAACAACTTTAAATAAATGCAGAAAAAATTTGTAAAGGTTGCATTCTATTTGTATATCGGAAAATTTTGAAAAGCAAACTGGTACTAATATCCAATCTTTTAAAGGCTACCTAACCTGCTGTTTAATGATATGGTTGTACAATATTACCAATCATACTATTCCCAGCTTGTCTGGGCTTTCTACCATGTTATATTTAATAGTAATAGATAAAATGGTAGGTGAAATGACTTTCGTGGTATGCCTGATATGTGTCATTTTAACAGCTCTTATCAATGTGATTTGTAGCAGGAAGGCAGACATTCAGAATATGCTATATGCATTTAGTCATTTTATTTGAATACTTTAATTATAGAATATCAATATCAAGTGCAATGCCAAAAGATGCAAGCATAGAGCTTTAAATCCCTTACTTGTCAAACAAATGTATATCGGCATTGATGTAGCATCTTCAATTCCTTTTATCTCCCAAGAATTGTGCATTCTTGATCTCCACTGTTCACCTCTCATTCTAAAGTTCACCTCTCATTCTACCAGAAGCTCAGGGGTGGGCTTCAAAAATTTTAGCAAAGAGTTGTCTACCTGGTTGCTGGGTGGGAATGGCCATGGTGGGCGTGGCCTACTTGGCCTCCTGCACCACGGTGGGGGGCATTTTTGCCCTCCCCACACTCTGGAGGCTTTTCTTGAGCCTCCAGGAGGGCGAAACCGGACTCCCCGGGCTCCGGTGGCTCTCTGGAAGCTGGAAACGGGCCTATTTCTGGCCTTCCATCCCTGCAGAAGCTATGATTTCAAGTTTAAATATAAAAAAATGTCTAAGGGACATAATATTAAAAATGATCTTAGAAACTAGAGTTTCTATGGGGATTCACAGGGGGAGTTCTGCTAAGTTTGGGATCAGCTTTGTGGGTTGTCATTGGCTTAGCTTTCCTAAAACTATATATGAGCAAAATTTACCTCATCTTAAGCCTCAATATCATTGTTCAGGACATGTTTTGGTCTCTGTCAATTTGAAACTAATCCTATGAGTGGATGGGTGGTTGGTTTTTTTGTTTTTTTTGTTTTTTTTGTTTTTTTGTTTGTTTGTTTGTTTCCATCATTGAGAACTGAGATCTCTAAACCAGGCCCTGTACTTGTTCCCGAAGGATGATGTATCTGTAATAAAATACTAAATATGAGCCCACTCATCCTCTCCAACTAGAGTAAAGACACTTGAAGAGAACTTCTGTGTAACAAGCTCTTAACTTTTGGAACCTCTCCAAAATCAGCAAAAGGTTGTTAAAAGCCTTTCCTCGTCTCCAGGCTGAAAGAAAAGGAAAAAAAAAGAGTTCAGCGACATTAAAACACGACAAAGACTTTTATGCACCTCAGGCTAAGGAATAACGTTTTAATCCTTAGGGCAACATGTATGTGGTAATTTGTAATGTTTAGATTTTTTTTCAGGTTATCTTCTATATATGGTCGTCCAAATCCACTTAATTTTTTTTATTTCTTTCCTTTTACAGGCTCTTTACAATTCAATCAAAAATGAAAAGCTTGAGTGGGCAGTGTAAGTATCTTATGTGGAACTAATAAGCTTCAAATGATTCCTTTTATGGTATTCACTTGATGTACCTGCAGTATCTGGAATAGATTTGCAGAGATCTACTCCAGCAGTTCAGGAGAGGGAACCTCTTACATTTATTTACAGGTAGTCCTCGACTTACGACCACAATTGAGCCCCAGATTTCCCTTGCTAATCAAGACAGTTAAATGAGTTTTGCCCCATTTTATGACTTTTTTTTGCCATAGTTGTTAAAGGAACCACTACAGTTGTTAAGTTAGTAACACAGTTAAGTGAATGTGGCTGCCCCATTGACTTGGCTTGTCAGAAGGTTACAAAATGTGATCACATGACCCTGGGACACTTCCACCGTCATAAATAAGAGTCAGCCAAGCGACTGAATTTTGATCACATGACCATGGGGAGGCTGCAATGGTCACAAGAGTGAAAAACAGTCATGTGACGCTTGTTTCAGTGCTGTTGTAGTCACTAAATGAATGGTTGTAAGTCAAGGACTATCTGTATTTATTTTTATTCTGACTTTATTGTCTTTATATATCAGACATTTTTCATTGGGAGGTCTTCATTCATTCATGATAACTAAACTGGTACGGCCCCTGAAAAAGGCTGATTTAATCTATTAAATATATAGTTTTGGGCAAGCCATTCTTTATTAAGATCATAATTCCATTTGCAATGTGCGGATAATAACTTGAAGACTATATCTGGTTAGATTCCATAAAATAATGTTTATCAAGTTTCTAATCTTCTTTGTATGGAATTTTTCCGAGCTTTGTTTTCTGCTAATAGATATTTCATTACCAAACTAAGTTACAGCAGAGCAAGATAACCGAATAGTGATGGATAATAAAACAACTGCAAGAATGTTTTTCTTTTGGAATCTTTTTACTTATTAAAAATTGTGCCACTTGTTGTTCATATTCTCAATATGGCATACCTCCATGCATGTAGAGCGTTTGAAAGTTAAGTTACCTGCGGATGGACTGCAGCACAAGTCCAAAAACTCAGAAGACTGAGTCTCTGACACTCCTTGATTGGCCGTAGAGTCCGCAGAATGAGATATGGTTACTCATGGGCTCTTCTTTCAGAATGCAAAACATGCTGGAACATCCAAAATGATGGCTTTTTCAAGTCTACATCAGTCTTCCTCATGGCATTATTTCTGTTACATGCTTAAATAAATTTAGGCCCTGTATTCCGTAGAACCTGGTTACTTAAGACATGCTTGCCTCCCACAATATCTACCCAGATAATTAAATTCTGCAGAGTTAGCATACCCTGAGTTCCATTGATTAAACATTTTGCCATCTGTAAGGACCCTAGAAGCACACCTTCTCTATTGCAAGATCTGATCTTTGATTTAAGGTTCCACCAAGATCTGGATGCCCCCCATTCTGCTGTGGTTTAGAAGAATAGGGAAGTGTTTTGGCAAGGGACTGTGAGACTGGTTTTTTGCACTTTTATCTTTACCTTTTACGTTTCAGTGATTTTAATGTAATTTCTTTGGTTGTTGTGAGCTGCCCAAAGTTGTTGAATTGAGTAGCATGTAAGTTTTATCAATTATGGTTGGTTGCGCAATCAGCCAGATGTTTTAGACAGGATTTGGGGTTTTTATTCACCTAGTGAGTCCTTCCCAAAGACCTGGGATAGACAGATGTTGTTGTTTGATGGTGCTGAATGTATCCTTACAGGATGCAAGCCTTTCCAAGTCAAGTTGCCTTTTGCAATTGACTGATGATGGCTTTGTTAATACTGATGTGTTCAAGTAGTAGTGCTCCAGATGTTTTAGGATTGTACCTATTGGAATTGTGCCTATTACTATTGGTAGTTTCTTTGTTTTCTATTGCAAAAGCCATTCTACTTCTCTTTGCAGGTCATTGTATTTTTTTAATTTTTCTCCAATTATTTCTCTTCTCTTCTGCTGTCGCCAGATACTATCACATCCACTGCCCAGAATTTGTCTTTCTTATCAACAATTAAGTCTGGGATGTTGTGTCGCAGGTGCTCCTCTGTTTGAATTCTAAAATCCCAGAGCACTTTAGCTTCCTCATTTTCTGTTACATTGTCTATTTAGTGGGCTACCTTTTCGTTGCAGGCAATTAGTACTTTTTGCAGATATTTCAATGCACCATTGTTGCTACTTTGTCATGCCATGTACAATCTTGCAATAGCAAAAACGAGATGGTTCTCTGTTTCTTTTGCTTCTTTGCAGAGGCAGCATTTGTGTCTGTTGTCTTCTTAATTCTGCCTTTATATGCGTTTATTCTTTAAGGCTTGGTCTTGTAAAGTCAGAATTAGCAATTCTGTCTCTTTCTTCAATTTTCCTGCTCTTAGCCACTTCCAGGTCTGGTATTAAATGCTTTGTGCTTGCTTTTTTAAAAAAATGCACTGGCCATGTAATACTTTGCCTTGCTAAGTCTCCTTTCTATTCTTCATTTGGTCTTTCTTGTAGGCCAGTTTGGTCTCTCCAGTACTCTCCAGTAAGCCTTCATGGCATGCTAGCTTTGGTGTGTCTTTTTCATTTTCCTTCATATATTCTTTCAATTCCTTTCTTCTTCTTCAACTGTCTGTTGTACCCTCCCCTGTTTTCTTTGGTAAGAAGTATCTGTCAACACCACTGCATGGATGAAAGGGATTCATTGTCATTATTTTACTGGTCTTTACTTAGTCTTTTATTCAGTTCTGCTTGAGTCCAGTCCACTATTCTAATTGCGTATCTAATGACTGGAATCACCCAGGTGTAATTGGCTTGATGTTATTTCCTACATTGCATGTAGACTTTAAATTCTTCCTCACTCTCATGATGTATTCTCTTCCAACCCTTCCTGAACTTCAGTGTGCTTGACATTGTCAGCTTAAAGGATGCCCAGGTATTTATAGTGATGTCTTCATCCAGACTCTTGATATTGTTTCTCTAGGGCATCTTCAGCTTTCATTATTTTTCCCCATTTGATGGTAAGTGTGGCACATTTGTCCAGTCCAAACTTCACTGCAATAGTTTGGGCTATAAATACAGTATTGAGCAGTGATTCTATGTCAGATGTTGTATTTTCATACAGCATCAGATCATTAATGTAAAGGTGGTGTGATCACCTGGCAGATGTTTTTTGATGTTTGATATAGCTATGGCCTGAATTATTCAGTATGGTTTACAGAAGAATCAGTGCAATGACAAACAGTAATGGTGATACTGAGTTTCCTTGAAATATTCCTTTCTTGATATTAACCTCTTCCACTTTATCACTGTTGACCAGCAACATCATGCCATTCACCTCCGCACAAAGTCAATGTTTCTACTGCCTCCTGTTATTTCTAGGCACTTGATTATCCAATCATCTGGCAGGGAATTGAATGCCTTTTTGTAATCCATGCTACTTTCAAGTTGGTCTTCCCTCTGTTGCAGTTTTCCAAAATCAGCTTGTCAATTAGAAACTGGCCTTTTGTTTGTCTGTTGTTTTGACAGTTCCCTTATTGTTGTTGTTATTTTAACTTTATTGAAATACAGTTTAATACAATGCAAGATGTTTGATAAAGTCAGAGAATTTGGTGATGTGCCCATTTGGTCATCAGACTCAGTCCATGCAGTGGGAGACAGAATTTCCTGAATGTGTAACAGAAGGATAGGTTGTCAAACCAAATTATCTCTTGCAAGCCAGGTGCCTGCTTGTTATTCTAGTAAGCAAAACGAGTTGTTAATGTTGAAAGGCTACTTGTAAGGTTGGAAGACTTTTTTAGTTGGGTTGGAAACATTATCTTAAAGATAGAAATCCAATCCTCAGTTAATCTGTGGCGGCATGAATAAACCCATGCTTAGCTTTCTCCCTTTTATCTTTCGAAGCATTGTGTCAGAACTGCTGGTAGAAGAAGCAAGGCTCAGGTCATGTTTCTTCCTGTTGGCTTGGTGTCTGAGGTTTGTCTTATGATTAATGGTGGATGGCTTGACAACAAACCAATATTAAAGATAATTCATTGCAGGAGGCTTTGGGAGCACTTCAGCTGCCTTTGGGAGGCTCACCATTTTATTTTATTTAATAGATTTATATAGTCTCCCATGTCATGAAACGAGACTCTGGGCAGTATGCAATATATTCACAATTAAAATGATAAATTGAACAATGTAAATAAAGGATAAAATAATCCAAGGATGTGGGTGAGCTTGATCATTTAATCACCTTACAGTCTCACCATGGAATCCCCCTATTGATATTCAAAGCTAAATATGAGGAGATGAGAGTTTGCCAGCACATTTTAACCACTCATCGTCCTTTCTCTGTTCATCCTTGTTACTTGATTTCCTTTTCATGCTGAAGGGAATCATGGCTGCTAAGTAGAGATCTTTCTTGAACAGAAAAGAAACAAAAAAATGCCTATATTAATAAGACTGCTTTTATGGGGATTATCTTTTTCTATAGTAACATATGCAAGTTCTCATCATACACTAAGAAAATCTTTAGAAGTATACTACTATGTATTTTCCTGCACTCCTGGAAGCTGGTTGAGTTAAGGATACTGTAATTATTTCTTGCCTCTTTCCAAGATACTTCTAGTCAATAGAAAATTGCTCCTGAAGATAAGAAAAGTTAATTGTTATTATTTTTTTAAAAAAGTTGTTGATTTTAAATAAGTTCCTTATTAGGAAAACTTGACAGATCCTAGCCTTCAAAGAGTTTAAATTAAGGCTTATTAGCTATCTCATGATGTTTGGCTTGTGAGAAAAGGAAGTAATGGGGACCGGTGGCAGTGAGACAGCAGTCAGCAGTGTCTCAATTGTGAAAGGCACATAGAGGGAATCTAGAGGCAGACTTCCCTCAGGGAAGGCAGATTTGACATTTCCAACCCACGATGTTTAGCCCTAATGCTAAGTCTTGCCTCCAGATCCTCAGTGTTACTGCCCTCCAACTGCTGCTAAATGCTAGATGAATTTGTAACAAAGCTGTCTAATCTATGATCTGGATGAGGCAGCCAACCAGGCATATATGAGTCCA